GCGAACTTTTCGGCGCCCAGGAGGCCGGTCGGGCCGGCGAGCCGTCGGCGCGAGGCTCCCGGCTCTTGCCGGGTGTCCGGCGGCCCGGCAGCCTTGCCCTCACCTACCGGAGCTGGCCGTCTGGCTGGTGTCCAGCGGCCCCGTCGCTCTGCCCAGCGGCTGCAAGTGGACGCTCTGCGGGTCGGACAGCACTTCTAGAAAGGTGGGCTGCGCGTAGAAGCCGGGGAGCCCCGCGGGCCCCAGCAGCCCCATGCCACCCACTCCTGCGGGGCTGAGCACCGAGCGCGCCGCCAGCAAATGCCCAGGGGCCAGGCCGTCGAGGGCGGACCGCGGGTGGGAGCTGGGGGGCTCCTTGTTCAAGCCCAGGATCTCCTGGATGCCGAAACCCGTGCACTTGGCCGGGCCGCCCCCCGGGGCACTCTTGGCCACTGTCTCCGCTTTGGGCTTGCTCAGCGCTTCCCCTGCTTTCCCCGTCATCTCCTGGCTCTTTGGAGGGGCCGAGGCGGCAGGTCTTTGGCTCCCCCCACCGCCCCGTCGGGCTCCCCACTTGGCGAACTTGGTCCCAGGTGCCCCCTCCGGTGTGTGATGCTCTGGAGCCCCAAGGAGATTCCCTTTTTATCCAACCAGGCAGCAGCCCAAGTGGGGTCAGAGCCGAACAGCCAATCACCAGGGCCAGGAGCGATTAGGAATTCCAAAAAGCTGGCAGCTCTGCCACACTCAGTGTCCAGGGGCCAGGGCGCTGGGAGCTGGCACCAGATGGGCACTGCGGCTTGCCTAGGGTCCGGGGTCCCAGGGGTCAGATGAGGCAGTAGAAGTCTGAGCTGTGCTAGCGTTCAGGTGGCTTGGGTTCCTGGCAGAGTCTGGATCGGATATGGTCCTGGATTGGCCAGAACAGGTCCCTGCAGTGGCAAGGAGGATGGGTGCTGGCTGAGCCTAGAGCCTGGGAGACCTCCTCCATCCCTCTGCTCCTATGCATGCCAGAGAGGCCCACCTGTGAAGCTGTGGGTGCCATGTGGGCCAAGGGAGGGCAGGGGCCCTGGAAGCCATGAGTGGTGACACTGGGAACACAAGGGGCCAGGGCTGTGGAGAGGAAGACATGGAGTGGAGAGAGCCTGACCCGTCTTTATACAGCAGGACGGCCTCGTTCAGAAAAGCTGCTCAATAAATACTGATCCCATGAGTGAATGAATGATAAAGAGGGGCTCCTAGCGGGAAAAAGAGAGGCTTCTTTGGAATAACTGTGTCTGAGCCTCTCTCTAGAATGAGCATGAAGTATGCCCAGCCTCCAAGGAAGCACCTCATTTATCCTTCCACCCACCCCTTCAACCCTCACGGATTGAGCAGCTGCTCTCTGGTCTGGGAGCTAGAGGGTCTGCGGCAGGCAGGTCAGACATCAGGTGAGACTACCTGCTATGACAGCAGAGTCCTCTGAGCAAACAGAATGAAGAGGATGGGATTATTGATAGAGAGGGAGGGCTGGAAGGCCACCACAAGGTGAGCGCCCCACCACCCCGTCCCTGCCTTACCTCGTTGATGGGAATCCCTTGACCACCTTCTGAGTTAGAAGCTATAGGATTGTAGCCAACTGAAGCAGCTGAGGCAGAGCCCTGAGCTGCTAACCGCAAGATCAGCAGTTCGAAACTACCAGCTGCCCCGTGGGAGAAAGACGAGGCTTTCTACACCCATAGAGAGTTAGCAGTCTCAGAAACCTACTGGGGCAGTTCTGCCCTGTTCTAGAGGGTTTGATTCCATAACAGTGAATTTGGAGGGGTTTTGGAAACCAGCTTAAAGGGGGCCAGTAGCACAGTGCTTAAAGAGCTCACCACTGAGATGCTGGTGTTTGAATCCACTTGCTTCTGCCAAGATTTAGAGTCTTGGAAGCCCCCGTGGGACAGTTCCACTCTGTCTACAGGCTCACTGTGAATTGAAACCCTGGGTTTGGGGTTGGCACCCGTTGAAGAGAAGTATGGGGGGCACAGTGGTGAAGCACTCTGCTGTGAACTTCACCATCTGCGGGGTGAGCCCCCCAGCTGCTCCTCATGAGCAGGTGAAGATGTAGTCTAGGAAGAACTATGGGGCAGGTCTCCTCCATCTTGCAGGGCCACTAAGGATGGACTTGACAATAGAGGGTGGGTTGTTGGTTGGTGCCAGTTGGAAAGTGGTAAGATGCAGCAGGAAACAGGAAGGAGAGAAGAGTCTGGATTTTAAAGGGGTGGGCCACCGTGTTGCTGGCTTCCCACCCAGAAGAGCCCATGGAGTTCCTGTTCCAGGGTTTAAGGAGTGTGGCTGTTTGGGCCCGGGAGACATTAGTAAAGGTGATTTCACACACACACACACACACACACACACACACACCAGTGACTCCTGAGCCCTTACACCCTACTAACCCACCCTGCTCCTCTTGGGATTTGCACCTACTTCCCCAGTGTGCCCAGCATGCAGCAGGCTTATAATCAATGGTTCTTGAACGGAAGGTGCCCTGTGCGGGGAGATAATTGTTTCCAGCAGAGACTGAGAAACTCCATTGGGGGAGAGATTCTAGTCAGGAATACTTGGTCAGGCAGCTGCACACCTCTAACTAACTGGACACCTCCACACCATCCCTACTGCCAAGGTGCCTGGTACCCCCTCTGACCACCACAGGCCAGACTGAGAAGAGGAAAGGAGCCCTGATGGGGTATGGAGCTGAGGTCTCACTGACAGGGCTCTTTGGAGGCTAGGCTCCACCATGCTAGCCTGGTCCAAGTGAGTGCTCACACTAGGGAGGAACATTTCATGCCAAATACCCCACGCCAATAATAATGCCACCCCTAACCCAAGAGGCAAGTGAATTTTGGGAATGATGAGGGAAACAAATGTATTGATGTGCTCTACACAATTGATTTATGTATTGTGATGAATTGTATGAGCCCCAATAAATTGATTTAAAAAAAAAAAGCCACCCCTTCCGCGAACCAGCATTGCCCCAGCCTTTTTGCATGGCGTAACCTAGGTCCTCACAGTAACAGCATTAGCAAGGCCGCGTTGCTCCATGGCTGAAAGTTGCCACCATGACTGTTATCTGGAGGGGAGAGCCTCAGGGAGATGCCATCTCAGGGGAACACATCCTCTTGTATTCTCTGGGGCTGGGTGCCAAGTGGCACCACTCTCATGAGAACAGGATGACCCCAGCGGTGCATCCTGGGCCAGACCCAGCCCTAAGACTTCCAGGGTCTATGGGGGTGGGGGTGGTGGTGAACAGCACTTTCTTGGAGTTGTGCAAAGCAGGGACTTGCACGGCATACATAAGGTTTTCTACCTGCATTTTATGGCTATGGAAACTTAGGCTAGTGAGAAGTTAGGTCACTTGTCCCAAACTTCTGGCTTCATCAGTAGCAGAGTCCAGACCCAACTCCAACTGAGTCTGCTGTCAGAAGGCATTCTCTCTTTATTGTTTCCCTCTTCTAGTCTTTTCCTTCTGTGGGTGGGAGAAATGAAAGCAGTGGAAGGAAGCTTGAGGTTTTCTTCAATCTCTGACGGACCTTTTCCAATCTGCTCAAACCTCCCAATGCCTCCGGGCAAAGCACCAGAGCCAGCTGACCGTCAGGAAAGTGCGGGACTGGAAGTCCCCTTGATTAAAAAAAAAGTCCTCATCTTCCCAACATGATCACTGAAGACAAAATAGGTGCATAAGCAATTGTGGTGAAGAAAGCTGAGGGTGGCCGGCTATCAAAAGATATAGCATCTGGGGTCTTAAAGGCTTAATGATAAACAAGTGGCCATCTAGCTGAGAAGCAACAAAGTCCACACAGAAGAAGCAAACCAGCCTGTGTGATCATGAGGTGTTGATGGGATCAGGTACCAGGCATCAAAGAATCATAACAAAAAAATCATATCAATGTGAATGGCGTGGAGTGGAGACCCAAAGCCCATCTGTAGACAATTGGACATTCCCTTACAGAGGGTCACAAGGGAGAGATGAGCCAGTCAGGGTACAGTATAGCACAGATGAAACATACAACTTTCCTCTAGTTCTTTAATGCTTCCCCCACCCCACTGTCATGATCCAAATTCTACCTTACAAATCCGGCTAGACCAGAGCATGTACACTGGTATCGATAAGAGCTGGAAACACAGGGAATCCAGGACAGATAGACCCCTCAGGACCAATAATGAGAGTAGTGATACCAGGAGGGTGGAGGGAAAGGGGCAACGGATCACAATGATCTACATATAACCCCCTCCCAGGGGGACAGACAACAGAAAAGTGGGTGAAGGGAGACAGCAGTTTGTATGAGACATGAAAAAATAATAATAAGTTATCAATTATCAAGGGTTCACAGGGAGAGAGGGTGGGGGAGGGGGGAACGAGCTGATACTAAGGGCTCAGTAGAAAGAAAATGTCTTGGAAATGATGGCAACAAATGTACAAGTGTGCAAGACACGATGGCTGGATGGATGGATGGTGATAAGAGCTGTTAGAGCCCCCACAAAATGATTTAAAATAAAGAACCCTGATGTAAAGAAGAAAGATGCAGAACGGTCTCACCAATTTGAATGGACTGCAGACTCTGGAGGAGGAAGGCGGGATGCCGTCTTGACACACACTATTGCGCTGAGCTCATCTTTAAGCCTTAAAACACTGAGCCGTCTTAGAATCCTTTCCATGTTTATCCTCTGGTGAAATGTCTATTCATGTCTTTTGCAATCTGAAAACAAAGTCTTAAAATCCATTTTCTTCTGACTCTGTCCCTTCCTCGGCCCCCTCTCCATGGCAGCCCACTTTGGCAGGATGGATGGGGATGTTATGTTGATGGTATCTGTCACGTCCCTGACTTATCGTGAGACACGCACAGTGAGCCAGATGCCAGCCGATGGGCAAGGACATGAGTGATGGAGAACCAGGCGTGTGAGTGATGGGAAACTCCACTCTTGCCAGGAGACGAGCATGAAAAATCTCTGGACCAAACCCCTGCTACTTTTCAGTGCCAGGGAGAAGCTACCACCTTGCCCAAGGAAGGAGGCTTGGAGAGGGCAGCCCTGGGGTCTCCAAGAGATGTCCTTGCCAGAGAATGAAAACAGAAGGAGGACCCTCAGCATTGGACACCCCAACATATTCCCACCTGCGGGTTGTCTCTGAGGATTGGTGACATCACTGTTTCTGATCCATGGCAGCCCATTTTAGGCCATGCCCAGCCATAAGACGTTCATGAACTGGGGGTGGGGGACCATACAGGGAAAAGGGGGTCATACAAGCTCAGGCTGGAGATGGGAGGAGAGAAGGGAACCCCCTCTGTGGCCTGTAACGTGCTGTGCTCATTAGAAGATGGTAATTCATCAGATGGATTCTGACTGGTGGCAAAGCCATGTGTGGCCACGGTCGATAAGCTCCACAGAGTTTTCAATTGCTGCAGACATTCAGAGGTAGGGTTTCAGGCCTTTCTTCCAACACATCCTTGAGTGAACTTGAACTTCCAATCTCTGCTAGCTGTTGAGCC